TCTGATTCGTCAGTTGATGATGAAGATGTTGTTGAATCTTTTGAAGAATTTTCACCTTTGCTAGAATTACTACTATCACTATAATTAGATATTGTATCTAATATATCATTGTCATCCATAATTAACCTATGATCATCATCACTTGAATAATCATCGAAATCTGATGTACTTTTGGTTGCATTTGTCGTATTGTTGATTTTTAATGATGTTGAACTAGTAAAACGGAAAAGAAGAAGCACTTTATTCAATATAGAATGCAAGGTAAAAAGCTGTTAGCGCAATCTCTTGCGGGATTAAAAATGTGAAACACGATGTAGTTGCTATAGCCGATGTTCTAAAAGCTGTTGTTTTATCCATATTGGATTACATTCCTTCATAATAGTTTGCCTTACATTATAGACTGTGAACAGGATAATATTCTATATATGCTCAATCATATGTTAGTTATGCATGATTTCTGATATTTCCTTGAAATCTTCTATCACAGTCTATAATGACCTTTGGACCCTGTCTGTTACGGGTCCAGAACTCTGTCTGTCACGGTCTGTGGAGGGGGAGGGATCCAAATTTCTACCCATGAACACTTCAACGCTCCTTTCAGATCGCGTTTCACAAAACATTATCTCCTGCAATGTTTTTTATGAATCTGTTAGTCATATCGATGTCTAAAAAGTACTAAATACTTCTTTTTATGGTTTTTTTTTGTACAAATAAAATTTATGTAAGTGATTAACAAGCATTTCAACATAAGTTCATAGATAAAGGTATTATTCCATTTTATGCTTTGTATCGATAACAGATATCTTAAAGTTCTAAAGTCATGGGTATAATATCGGGGTACTTGGCTTTTAAGAGCTGTCCAGATAAATCAGTTGCACGTCTATTCTAAGCCTGATCCTTGAAAAAAGTATTTCTGTTGATGAAGAAATATACTTGAAGGAAACATATACGATTGGAGACAGATTCAAATTCAAAATATTAGATTTTATCGTAAGTAGTTTTGCCGACTCTTTAGTCTTTCAGCCCAGTTCAATTCTTTGTTTTTTTTCCTTAACTGCGACTATCGATCGTAAAACTGAGTCGATATGGATCATCGAGTTCTTTTAAACAAACTGAATATGATGAGATCGTATTGTCAAATGCATTTAACTAGATAGCTTTTTCTTTTTTGACAACCATAGCAAGTGCTGCTAGCTACAGCCGATAAATCACTATTATGAATAGCACAAGGTTTTCTGAAAAGTAATTCATTCATTTCTCTTGGTTATCCATGAAGAACTCATTCGTAGAACAGTAAGCTGTCATCGGCTTCACTTCCGCTTCCGAATACGCACTTATTTTCAATATTTCATTGAAGAGTTCAACTAGCTATTGCTCTTTTTCTTCGAAAACAAAAATATTCAAAGATTCTGGAAAATCTCTATTTAACCTGTATAAATTACCCTTGGTAATTAGTTTGTGCTACAAATTTCACCCAAATAAGTTCGTGAAAAACAACAGTTATGAACAGCTCCATTATTGAATCCGTCATTGATACATAATAGATCAACAAAAGATCCAGAATTTACGACAGCAATTCAATTTTTAGTATAAAAATTTAAAAGAAACCGTACACTGTAAAAATAATGTAGTACGGGTATTTCAAATGAATGCATCTCACGATGTTATTCTTTTTTGAAGAGCGACTTATAGTATATCTAACTGCATATCTACGGTTTAATTCTCTCGCAGCTGATTTCGTACGATTATTATTAAACAGTTATTGTACGATATCATTCCATGATCTAATGATCTACTATGTCAAGACCTTGAAAATTGTTACATATTATCATTAATCTAGATAAGTGAGAATCAAAGAGTACGCCAATAAATATTGATGCTTTACGCATTCATTTTATCAAAAATTACTAAAACTAAACTTCCTCTTATTGAAAAGACTAGAACAAAGGCACTATTCGAAGATATAATACCAATATGCACATCCAAAATACTTAACACACACTTTCTTGTTCATATCACACTAGTCTTTTACAAATATTATATGTGAGAGATAAGCAGCTACATGTTTCAAGAGCGTCACTAAAACCTTCTATTCAAATAGAAATCTCTTGGTTGTGTCTCTATGCTAGGTAACTAAGTTTTTCAATGAATTTATTTTCATTCCATAAAGTGGAACGGTTGCATCACTTTGTGTTGATTTTAAGGTCACTTTTGATATGTACAATCTTTATCAATTTCATGACTAGAGTAGATAGAATTGACTTACATTTTTTTCGGTATTTCGAATAGCCATAGACCATTTTGAGTAATTAAATTCAAATTATGTAAAATACAAGATATTTTAATTCCGAATTTTGATAATCTTTGTGTTGCACACCGTATATCACCTCCATTGTCGGTGGTTATTGCACACACCTTTGATTTAATACCAAGTTTATTTATTTCTTTTGCAATGAAACGTTCTAATCGATCAGCAGAGTGTTTCCCAATAAAACGTCGAAATGCAATAACCATTGTATGGTACTGATAGTCATCATCGTAATATTGGGCTGTTAAACCAATGAAATGAGATTTACCGTTGCTTTGCCAAATATCGGCACTTAATGAAATATTGTTGGTATTAGATAATTTTTCTCGAATATCAGCTCGACGTTTTTTATACATTGGCTTTAAACGTTTGACCACCGTCTTTCTGTGCGGCCCATGGTAACCTGGAACCGCTACAGAAAGAAAATGTTGCATGCCTGATTTTCGGAACCAAGTAAATGCATGTGAATCTTGAATAATTGCTTGAATTGCTGCTGAATCTAATAATTCTTTTTGATCGGATGTTATTGACTTTTCTTTCGGCAAATTTTTTTTTCTTTGAGATGGATAAAGAAATTCATCAAGTTTATGTACGCGGCCCAAATGGCTACGTAAGTTTGAGTCGGATTTTATAGACGATTTTGGAAATAACTAAATAAAAAAAAAGAAAAACAAACACTATAATAAAAGTGTATACATTCTTCACAAATGCAACAGAATCCTATAGAACGAATGGTTTATCTCCATCCCTTAGTTTTTGATAAACATCAAATGCACATTGCAAGCACAACATTTAAAAACTTTTTATGCACAATAGTTCAAAGCTTCCCTCAGTGATTTTTCTGCGATGAGCTTTTTCTCAGGATGATATCATCAGTGTTGTTTTCTGTGCCTTTAACAATAAGTATATGCTTTGATGGATTAGTTCATGTTGATTACAAATATCAATTTTAAGTGTCAGAGGTATGATACATTATCGGAGTAGAATAATATTTTATAAATAAAAAATAACTCTATA